TTTTTTTTTTTTTTTTGTTTCATTTAAATAACTAATTATTATAGAATACCGGTGTTTCGTTTTTTGGCTGATGCCGTTTTCATTTTTCGGCTCTTTCACTTTACAATCCGCCTCGCGTGTAACCGAAGCGCGTTACGAGTCGTTAACGCACAAAGCCAGCTCGATCTTTCATCGATCGTTTTCGCAATTTACGAGAAGCCCGTTGCCTCCCCCATTGTCCGGGAAATCGCGGAAATTTTTCGCGGAAGAATGGCGCTTATTCCATTCTTCCAAGCAGGATATAGCTCCATCCGCGTTTCTTTTTAATATTCGATCGAGCAAACGCCACGATTGTATTGGCCACCTTTATTTCCCTTCCTTTCACGCTGAATAAAAAATCCTGTTCGCGTGAGAAAGATTACAGCTGGCTAATTAACTAATACGCTGTTGCGCACTCGTTGATACGCGGAATAAATGACGTTACTACGAACGCGTGTCAAAGAGCTAGATGTTTCTTTTTCGTCAAATATTAAATTGGAAAAGTTAATTAATTAGAGACAAAGAGGTGGGGAAAAATTGAACAACACCGAGGTAATTATGTTTTGTCGTATCAAGCGAGAATGAATTTCCAATGGCGTTACGACGACGTTGATCGGTGTTTCCTCTACTTTTGAATCTAATTTCACGAAAAGAAATCCTTTCACGGTTCCTGTGAATCCTTTTGACAGTCGAACACTTGTTAAACTCGTTCAAATTTCGGTTTCCGCATAACAGAAGGTTTCGCTTGCAACCCTATATTATTGTATTATTTAATATTCGACGAAACGTTCAAGAACAGTACGGCGAATCAAACGAGGCCGAATTGAATTTTAATCGAGTTAAATCGAATTCTAATTCATTTCACATTAACCATCTTCCGTGCGTATTTTCTCACTGCGTTAAATTTGATATTCAATGTTATTAAATTTCTGACTTATTATCCGAAAATTTAACGTTCCAACGCATTCCAACTCATGTTTAAAATTGGAGGAATTAAGAAATAAAAGTGAACATCTTTGGGAACTTTCGGGGAATTTCTCGAAGGGAAACAACCAGTCTCGCATAGGAAATTAATATTTCCGGCTTTGTTTCAAGATTAAAAGATTAAAGTTAATGAATGTAACGTTGGCTGATATCACATGAAGTTATTATTTTCGAAAGCAGCTATTTCCGGTCACATTTATATACAATGTGTTAATATACATACAAATCTTCAAATCTGCGAAGCATCTTATTTATTTTATTTGAACGTCCAACAATATTCGAAATTGCTTCGAATCTCTACGGCTCTTCTAAACTTTGAAATCTTCGATGTTAATTGATTTTATTTTGTTCAGACGATATCCTAATTTTCTTTTAAATTATTAACGTAGCTTTAGCAATAATCTAAATCATTAACATTTTCTTAATGAATTTAATGTTTTAAGTCATTAATGTAGCTTTAATATAGCTTTGCATAGCTTCTGTATTATTTCATTTCACTCGAAAATCCGATAAAATAATCGTCGATCGAGCGGGTCGCCATTTAATCGCACGGCGCGCAGATCCGGCGTGGTTCACGTGATACTCGTCACGTGGGCCGCGTCAATTGAATTCCATAAAAGCCAGTTGCGTTCGCCGGCTGACACGTCGACGGTGTTTGATCGTCCGTTCTCTCTCTTCGTCCGTTTCCGTTCTAAACCGTCTAAGCAACACGATTTCCTCTGTTTCGAAGGTGGTGACCACCTCGAGCGGGCGAAACGCTGGAACTCGCGGAACAAGGGGAGAAGAAGAATCGCTGGAGAAACACGAGAGGAGAACGAAGAGTACGACGCGTGAACGAGACAGAGAGCGGGCGGAAGCGAAGAGGAGAGAAGAAAGGGGTGGCGGCAATCGACAGATGAGAGTTTGAGTCGCAGAAAGTGGTTTCGAGTGGAGGCTGGCGCGAGTTAGCTCGACTCGAGGAAGGGTGGTGGAGGAGCGTCGAAAGCACGGAGCCAACTAGAAGAGGGAGGCTCGCTTGGAGGAAAAAAAAGAAACGAAGAGGGAGGAGGGTGGCCCGTGGCTCTCCTCGCGCGCCAAGCGAGAGACGACGTGTTGGAGTAGAGAAGGATAGTAAGGACAACTTCCGTGTGCTTCGTTGAAGAAAAAACAGAGGGAGAAAGAGAAGAGAGTGAGTGAGAGTCGGCGGGAGGGGAGAGGTGGGGAGGAGCGGTGTGTCGTTGACGTGACTACGAGTGACGTGACGTGACGTGACGTGACATCGAGGCGTCGACATGCTCCTGGATGAGATGGCCGCCTCCGTTCACACGCTGCTGTCACTTCTTCTCGTGCTCGGTGCTTGCACGCTCTGCCGCGGCAGGATCACAAATCAGGAGATAGGTGAGTTGTAAAATATCTCCAGCTTCCTTGCTTCTTACTTCTACGCTCGTCTCCGTCAGCTTACACTGATTTCGCGCGATATCTTTTCGGGGACAGGTTGTCGAGGGAGAAATCCGTTTTTTTCGATGCGCTGTCATAGTTCTTTGATCTTAGGTTCCTGTTTTTTTTCTTTTTTTTTTTTTTTCTTTCGAACGACGTATCTTTCGACGCTATATTTACGAAGAATGTAGCGAGATTGTATTTTCGTGTTTTGATGAGAGGCCGCGCACGTCGAGGGCGACCACGATTCGAGGAAATTAAGAGCGCGTTGGTATTGGATTAGTCGCATCGCGAGGTACGCTTGAAACGCGGTTTTCGGTGTACGGCGCACACATTTCCTGATGTACGTTGTGCACAGGATGCTTCTAATTAAAAACGCTGTAACGCACGCTTTTATACTTTCACCCTGAACGACCACGTTTGGGTTTGACATCCTTAATTACATCGGAGGAATGTAATATTTGCAGGTGAATTATGGTAACTCGCGAATATATTTAATTCGAGATATACGTTCGAAGCGAATTTCTGACTGTCCGCCATTTACGCGGCGGTTACCGCGTTGCAAAATATGAGTTATTATTAAACTTGGCGAACTCTCGGTTGGTGACCATCAGACAGTTCAAGGCCACGAGAGAGCCAAAAGTTCTCACAACAAACCGCGATCAAGATATCCATTACGAGGTAATTTATTTACAGGAGAAGACAATTGAAGTTTGCAACTTCTCTTTCTGTCTTGAAATTATCTCTCTCTCTCTCTCTTTCTCGTAGCATTGAATTGTCCAAGATTATTTCCAAATGATTTTTTATTAAAATTATTTAAGAAAAGCAGCACCGAAAATTGATTTCAGGTCAGGTACCATGCATTCTTTTTTCATCATTTGAAAATAAGTCGCTTAGCTGTGAACTCTTGAGCTTAGAAAACTAGAAGAATCTCAGTTACGTGAGTCAGAGAGTTGTAACATTAACAATGGAGAATATATCTCAGGTTTAACCCTCCAATATTCGAGCGAATAATAATTTCCTCGTGGATCAAGTACATGTAATGGAGCAGCAAACAATATCATTATCCTTAGAAAAATATACCAAAATACACCTTATCAAAGTTATCATAGTATTAATCGATCCTTATAAAATGGTACTGACACCGTACGATCCAGCTCCCTTGTCCACTTGATTTAAAATTTAAAACGTGCTCACATTCCGACAATTATTCCACCGGAAACCATGCGCTTCCCCCCCCCCCCCTGGTAGTGGTCGTTCGTTCGTTTCGCGTCATTAGTTTCGAAGAATTCGTTTGTCCGAGGGTAAAAATCAGCGGGAGGAATTACGAGCCACGGCAACCTGTGGCTCGCCTCGCGTCGTTCCTCGCTGCTTGTCGGGTTCTCGGCTAAATAATTAATCGAAAAACCAAGTTTGATCATTGCCCGAGACCTAATTAATTACCGTGCGACGCGAGTTCTCTCTGCTTCTGGCTGTTTCTCCCGTGT